TGCGTTTGGGCCGACATATACTCCGGTCAGACACTCATCGGTGATCTGGACTTTGAGTTGTCGTGTGTTCTCTACAACATCGGTGCCCTTCACGCAGAGTTGGGTGCCCTCGACCTCAGGAGCACCGCTGACAATATGAAGGTCTCGTGCACTCACTTCCAGTGTGCGGTCTGGGCTTTCCAGCACTTGAGAGACGATAACCGGCTCTACAAAAGCAAAGACATGTCTCACGAGTTGCTCTCATTCTTCGTTCAAGTGATGCTATCACAGGCACAGGAATGCATTCTTGAGAAGTCTATGTTAGACAACAGAAAGTCATCGATTGTGGCCAAAGTAGCCGCTCAAGTGGTCGAGTATTACAGCAGTTCTCTACTCATTCTCTTGCAATCGGCTGTCAATACCACTGCCAGTCATACCATCGTTGATATCGTCGGCTCTAAGATATACAAAGAGTGGAAGAAATTCATTGAATTCAAAGTTTCGTATTATAACTCGATTTGTGCTCTTTTTATGGGAAATTTGGCTGAAGAGCAGCAAAAGATGGGCGAAAGGGTCGCGTGGTTTCAGTCGGCAGAAGTGAAACTCAACGAAGCCGTCAAACAGTCTAAACAGATGGACAGACCAGAGCTGAACGAAGCGCTCACTTTTGTTTCCGATGTAATTAATGTGAAACTCGGAAATGCTATCAAAGAAAACGATTTTGTTTATCACGAAAAAGTGCCGACAAGTGATAAACTAACAGAAGTGAAGGGCGTTTCACTTGTCAAAGGCATTCCCTTTAGTGTTTGTGATCCAGAGATTTGCGGGAACGACATATTTGCTCGTCTGGTGCCCATTGAAGCCCACGAAACGAACTCTATATATAGCGCTAAGAAAGATGAGATTATGAGAGATATTCGGATTAAAATTGATGATAAGAACGATGAATTGGTGGCTTATATGTCATCCTTGCAGTTGGACAGAGACAACGTGCGTGTGAGGGATGAGCGCATACCCGACCAACTCATTGAAGTCTGCGCCGCAATGTCTGTAAATCCCGACTCTATTAATGAAGTGACAGTTGTTTTGAATGAATTGGAAGAAATCTGTGAAGAAGTGGATAAAGCGATCAAAGAGACGAAAACTCTTCTGGAAGAGGAGGACAAGAAGGAGACACAACACCAGGAAATATACGGCAAGAGACCCACGTCTATGATTGTCGTTGAGCTCAGCAAAGAGTTGGCAAAACACGAGGAGATCCATAAGAAAGCTTTACTTTCGAATAGTTCTTTAAAAGACAATTTAGAGCGACATTGCGATGACATTAAGCTATTGATTAGCTCTTCCGCTCAAAACGTGTCATCACTCCTACCGTCGACTGACGCTAACGTTCCCTTTGATGAGTCGAATTTGACTGAAATGGAAAGGCTTTTGGAGAAAGTGAACGAAATGAAGGGCCAACGCTTGCATCTCGAGAACCAATTGAGAGACACGATGGCCAGCGATGACCTCATGAAACAAGTGTTGACTCACACTAAGCCTCAAATGGAGGAAGTGTTTGCTAATGAGATCAAGAAATACGACAAAACAAAGGGTTTGATTGAACAGAATCTGTCGGCTCAGGAGAATATTCTGCGCGCTCTCACCAAAGCTAACGCTAAATACAGTGAAACGCGAAGAGCTCTCCTCGACAACGAACGCAACCGAAGCGCTCGAATCGCTTCTCTTATCCATACGTTTGATATCTTTAAAGAATTGCAGACAAACTCTAAGAAAGGTTTAGAGTTTTATCAGAAGTTTCAAAATATTGTGGATAGACTTCACGCGCGAACTCGAGGTGTCTGTCGGGTTCAGGACGAGGAAAGAACTCAAATCAGTTCCTCTCAAAGGAAATCCAGTTTCACTCCATTGAATGATAACTATATGACACCAAAAGGCGACACATCAGTCGCACCTAAACT